TTAACAAAGCTAGCCGGGCTTTTTTTTAACTATATAGTTATCGTCAAATTTGTCATGATAAAAATGAAATCTTTAAACAACAAAACAAAAACTTTAAATCATTATCATGTTGTTCCAATAATGTACATTTCCTTTAAACGTTATATACGTTAAATATTAAATAAATAATACAGTATATATTTATAATAGAGTAAATTTTTTTCTTTAAATATTAAATGAATGAACACAAAATAACGTTACAAAGCGAAAAGATATTGCTGTCTTATGCAATAACCTCAGAACACTATAACCAAAATTCAGTTCATTCATTAATATATCACACAGAATTATGTTAATAATATTAAAAATGTACAGTGTAGAGCCTCTCTCATTTGAACCACTGCGTTTCGAATTCTAATTCGAACTTTACATTACTAGAATAGAATATCTATCAGCAAATGAACTTCTAGTTATTAATAGATATTTCGTTCTGATAATGTAATAATCGAAATTCACACAGAAGGAAACAATCCAATTTCTTTTAATCTCATTTGACGGTCTTAGATCAACTTTAGTAGATACAAGAGATAGTTGAATAATTGAACTCTCATTACATCCGATAACAGAGTTTAAGAATTATTAGATACAATTTAAAGATTACCTCGCGAGAACCGTATCTCAGAGAGTTCCCTCCAGAGATTTCGTTTATTCTTCGAAGTGAAAGTGTTAGCAATGCATTTGCACAATGATTTTATTCTCTCGAAGTTAATAAACCATGATTACACGCTGAACTATGCGCTCGAATAATTGTACGAACCGTAAAAAAAAAAAAAAATATCGGTGCATTAATTAATGTATCCCTGTTCCTTTCACCGATTGTACAATCGTAGAAACGTTTTCGATGCATCTGTATCTACGATGCTTTTTCTATTTTATACACGTCACGAATGCATGAAAGTAGATTTTTTTTTTTTTTTTTTTTTTTTTTTTCTTAACGTAAACGAACGAAGAACGAACTTTTCGAGTGTCTTCTCTTTCCTCTTCTATTTAATCAGAAGAAAAGCAAGCCGCTAAGAACAATTGTTAAGTATAATAATTCAGTCTATCGTTCACGTTTTATGTAACACAAGCGAAACTCCATCCAGCCCGACGTCCGTTTCTCAATTTCATCCGTGAAATTTATTGATCTTCTCTAATTGTACATTTATTTTAAAGCGCCGATCTAACGGAGCCTAGCTGGCAATCATTATATCACGGCAATTAGGAATATCATTGAATAAGATGTATTCGAAGGGAGATGTTCAACGTCAGAAAATTCACAATCGTCGAATGATTAATAACCATTAGCTGCTCGAACCGATAGCCGATAGAACGAATCTCGGTGAAAGCCGGACAAATA